CCCACCACCCCCAGCCACAGCTACAGCGACGAGTTCACCCGCCAGGGCTCCGAGTTCACCAAGCGCCAGCTCTCGCTGCAGGAGAACCTGCAGAACATGCTCTCCCCTCCCCAGATCGACCGTCAGTGCTGCGCAGAAGCCTCGGCCCTCCAGCCCCAACCTGCTGCAGTCACCCGAGCCCACCTACGGGCCAGCCCGCACCCGGCAGCAGTCCGTCACCAAGGAGACGCCCTCGGCGCTCAAGCCAACCATTACCAAGCAGGTGTGGGGAGGGCAGGAAGGGAAGGGAGGGAGGTCAGGGAGTGGGGAGATAGGGCAGGTGGGGAGAGGTACAAAGGGGAGCAGTGAGGGGGCAGATGGGGTCAGGTGGGGAGAGGTACAAAGGGGAGCAGTGAGGGGGCAGATGGGGTCAGGTGGGGAGAGGTACAAAGGGGAGCAGTGAGGGGGCAGATGGGGTCAGGTGGGGAGAGGTACAAAGGGGAGCAGTGAGGGGGCAGATGGGGTCAGGTGGGGAGAGGTACAAAGGGGAGCAGTGAGGGGGCAGATGGGGTCAGGTGGGGAGAGGTACAAAGGGGAGCAGTGAGGGGGCAGATGGGGTCAGGTGGGGAGAGGTACAAAGGGGAGCAGTGAGGGGGCAGATGGGGTCAGGTGGGGAGAGGTACAAAGGGGAGCAGTGAGGGGGCAGATGGGGTCAGGTGGGGAGAGGTACAAAGGGGAGCAGTGAGGGGGCAGATGGGGTCAGGTGGGGAGAGGTACAAAGGGGAGCAGTGAGGGGGCAGATGGGGTCAGGTGGGGAGAGGTACAAAGGGGAGCAGTGAGGGGGCAGATGGGGTCAGGTGGGGAGAGGTACAAAGGGGAGCAGTGAGGGGGCAGATGGGGTCAGGTGGGGAGAGGTACAAAGGGGAGCAGTGAGGGGGCAGATGGGGTCAGGTGGGGAGAGGTACAAAGGGGAGCAGTGAGGGGGCAGATGGGGTCAGGTGGGGAGAGGTACAAAGGGGAGCAGTGAGGGGGCAGATGGGGTCAGGTGGGGAGAGGTACAAAGGGGAGCAGTGAGGGGGCAGATCCAGGTCGGGAGAGGTACAAAGGGGGGCAGTGAGGGGGCAGATGGGGCCAGGTCGGGAGAGGTACAAAGGGGGGGCAGATGGTACCAGATTGAGAGGGGTACAAAGGGAGGGCAGCCGGGAGCTCAGTCCTGCTCGGCGTGGGCGGCTGACCGTCATGCTGAGGCACTGGTCTGTGTTGCAGTGCCCGCCACAGGGAGGGTGGGGGAGTCTCTGGGTCAGGGAAGGGGTCTCAGTCCATGCTTTTTCCCTGCAGCCTTCCCACACACCTTCCACGCTGAACCCCGTCATGCCGGCCTCGGAGCGCACAGTGGCCTGGGTCTCTAACATGCCGCACCTGTCGGCTGACATTGAGAGCTCCCACATTGAGCGTGAGGAGTACAAGCTGAAGGAGTACTCCAAGTCCATGGATGAGAGCCGGCTGGACCGGGTGAGAGCCCAGGCAGCTGCCCGTACGGTCCCCAAACTCCGGCCTGGTGCCGGGCGTGGCCCTCACACTGCCTTTCCCTGCAGGTGAAGGAATACGAGGAGGAGATCCACTCTCTGAAGGAGCGACTGCACATGTCGAACCGCAAGCTGGAGGAGTATGAGCGACGCCTCATGTCGCAGGAGGAGCAGACCAGCAAGATCCTGCTGCAGTACCAGCAGCGGCTGGAGCAGAGTGAGAAGCGGCTACGCCAGCAGCAGGTGGAGAAGGACTCACAGATCAAGAGCATCATTGGCAGGTGAGGGGCGGATCGGAGCGGCGGGGCCTTTCGGCAGGGTCACCTGGGCCTGGCCATGTGCGGGGAAGGTGGGGGCCGGGGGGTCCCTGGCACATGTTGGGGGGTCACAGGGTCCCTGGCACGCCTGGGGGGCGGCTCATGGCAGAGGCCAAGGGTCCCTGGCATGTATGGGGAGATGGGGATCACAAGGTCTTGTCATGAGGCCCCCAGCACACCTGGGGACTGTGAAGTGTATCGCAGGATTTTAGGCAGATCCCTGATGAGATCAGGCCAGGAGGGAAGAGTCCCTCTGGGAGCTGCCTCCCCTAGGTACCTGCTGTGGCCTCTGCCCCCCAGGGACCTGCTCAACCTCCCCCCTGCCCCCTGGGCGTGAGCTGTCAGGGACCCTTGGCCTCCCCCCGCGGGAGCCCGGATTGACTCCAGTGAAGCCTGTCCCTGCAGGTTGATGCTGGTGGAGGAGGAGCTGCGCAGGGATCACTCGGGCGCCCACGACGTCTCCGAACCCCGGAAACGCCTGCTCGACGCTCAGGTGGAAATTACAATGTCATTGTTCTTTTCCGTGTCTCCATTTCCCATCCCATCTCGTCTGCCGTCTGTCCCGCGGGCAGGCTAGTGCTGGGGGAAGCCAGAGGGATGGCCACGCTGCGGGGAGGGGGAGGGAGAAAGAGAAAGGAGGAGACACACACGCACTTGCCACCACAGCATGCACAGGACCTGGAGAAATTGCCAGAGAGCAGGGCTAGGACTGGGAGGGCACAGACTTCTTGCCCCTTGGGGACATAGGAGCATCGTGCTTACAGGCTGAGGGGGCCAGTGCCCCCTTACAGGGTCCTTAAAGCAGGCCTGGGAGTCAGTTCCCCCTCCAGGGGACAAAGGCTGAGAGGGGCCCAGAGCGGTGGGAATTTCTTGGGTCCATGGCGTTTAGGGTGAGGTGATGCCATCTGGATGCCCCATCCCTTCTGCCCTGGCTTTGAGCAGCTCCACAATAAAGCACTTTCTTCGAGAGATTGCTCATGTCCATGCAGCGTCAGTGTGCACGCTCGCCACGTGCACTGGTGCCAGCAGTATCTGTAGGGGACCAGGTCCCAGTGCCCCTGGAGTGGCGCACGCGCCATGCTACGTGGGACGCTTCCAAGCCCCTCCCTCTCCAGTTCCTTCTTGCCACCAGTGATGGTGCTTAGAAATGCTCCAGCAGAACTGTAGTGATCTTTGCTGTTTCCCTCTTTCCAAGAGTAAACAGGTTTACATAGTTACAGTTGATAGTGTTGGTCTGTGCGACCCTCCACTGTTTGCGGGAGGGCCAGAGCAGCGAGACATGCTGCATTTGTAGGTCCTTCTGCCCTAGGACCTGGAAGGAGAGAGACGTTGTGCCAAAGGCACTGCTGATGGAGTTGTCTATAGCTCCGCAAGACCAATGATCTGATGTGTGGAGTGCCGACGTCTTGACACCAAGAGTCTTTGGTGATTCCCACAAAGTGGAGCAGGAAGCAATCAATGGCTCAGTTTGAGTCCTCTCTACTGGAGAACCCCAGGAAGGCGTTCAGGGTGCTGGTAGAGGAAGGGGCAGTGGCAGCTAGAGCAGCATTTGACTCAGCAGTCTGATCCATGGCCTCAGCCATTTCCATGTGCTGGTCAGTCTGGTTCCTGCTCTCGGGCTTGTCCATGGAAGCCCAGAGCTCGCGTCAGGACCTCCCATTCGACAGCCAGGCACTGTTCTCAGAGAACACAGACCCTAAACTGCATGCTCTGAAAGACTCTAGAGCCACTCTGAAGACTCTGGAGTAGTATGTCCTCGGAACAAAGAGGAGGAGCTTAAAACCCCTTCCTCTCAATCCCGTGGGGCCTGTCCTCAGCAAGACCCAGCCCAAGGAAGGTCTAAGCTATGCAGGAGGAAGCAGGACAGGCAACCTCCGTCGGCCACTCTACCTGCCCCAAACCCACAGGCAAGCACTCTTTCTAAGGGTGCGCCCTCTCAAGCCAGAACCTTCTCTTGTGTTTTCATCCCGCCTCTGCCCTACCTCTTGACTTGGAGGGCCTTTACCTTGGATCGCTGGGTCCTGACCATAATAGAGCATGGCTATACTTTACAGCTCTCCTCTCCCTCCTACTTTCCACCCACCTTCCCCATCCCTCTTCAGGGACCCTTCTTACAACACCCTTCTCGCACAGGATGTGGGGGAGTGGTGCAGGAGGTCTCACTCCAATACAGAAACTGGGGCTTTTATTCCCGTTATTTTTTAATCCCAAAAGCCAAGATGTCCTAAACGCCATTCTCAGCCTGTGAGGTCTGAACTGCCATCTCTGGAGCCTCAAGTTTTGCATGGTCTCTCTGGCTTCGGCCATCCCTGACCTGGGTCCGGGGGATTGGTACGCTGCCCTCGACCTCAAGGAAGCGTACTTTCACATCGTGCTCTTCAGGGACACAGGTGCTTCCTGAGGTTCACGGTAGGTGCAAATCATTGCCCGTTTGCTGTCCTTCCCTTCGACCTTGCTACGCCCCCAGGGCGTTCGCCACACGTATGTCAGTAATGGCAGCGTACCTGAGACGCAAGGGGGTCCAGGAGTTGCCCAACCTCAGCTGGCTGGTCAGAGGCCTGTCGGGATGGTGCTCTCTTGTCGGACATGGGTTAGCAGCTGGGTCTCCTGCCAAACAAGGAAAAGTCTGCGTCTGTTCCAGCTCAGAGGGTCGAGTTCATCGGACTCAGTAGCAGCTCCAGACAGGTTTGAGTTGCTCGTGAGCCTCATTTCCGAGTGTCAGCCACGTGGCATCATGCTCCTTTGCTGTGCTCTTTGCCAGACTCACTTTGCTACCTCTGCAGCTGTGGTTGGTGTCGGTTTACCCCCCCAGCATAGCATCCACTGGACAGATCGGGGACCATCCCCACACACGTGGTGGTGGATGGCAGTGGCCAGCATCTTGGCAGGAATTGCGTTTTGGCAGCCATGGCACTATCTGGAGTTGGTGTGTGATGCCTCGGATCGGGGTTGAGGGGCGCACCTTGGCATGTTGTAGACGCAGGGAATGTGGAGCCTTGCAGAGGTGGGTCTGCATGTAAATGTCAAAGAGTTCAGGGCAGTACGCAGGGCGTGCAAAGTGTCCCTCCCGCACCTGTCACGCAGGATGGTCAGGGTCCTCACGGACAGTGTTCTATATCCGTAGGCAGAGAGGGACCCGCTCTGCAGCCCTCTGGCAGGAGGCACACGCTCTCTGGGAGTTTTGCGTCAGACACAGTATATCCCTGGAGGCCTGTCACCTCCCCGAAGCCAAGAGCACCGTGGCAGGTGACCTGAGCAGGCGGTTCTCCTCTCGCCTGACTTGCAGGTTCTTCCACGAATGGGGATCTCTCCCCGAGTCAATCTGTTTGCTAGCAGGCCGAATGTGAAGTGTCCTCTGTTCTGCTCCCAGCTGGGGCTAGAGGAGGGTTCCCTGCAGGGCGCCTTTCTCCTGCCTTGGTCAGGGGGGTCTCATGTATGCCTTTCCACCTTTTCCTCTGGTTGGCAAGATGCTGCCAAAGATCAAGCCGGATTCAGTGCAGTAACCCTCATCACATCTGCCCAGTCTCATCAGCACTAGCTTGGCACCCTTGTCGGCCTGCTGGAGAGGTGGCCGTGGCTGCTGTCAGCCTGCCCGGACCGTCTCTCGCAGGACCAGGGCCGACTGCTGCACCTGAACCTTCATGGCATGTTAAACCCACAGTAACAGGTGTGCTCGTCCTTTTGGGGAGCAGGAAGCCCTCTATGCCAGTGGTTCCCAACCCTTTATACTGTGGGCAGGCAAACCTATTCACAAACTTTTGGCGGACTGGTAACATTTTAATTACATATTTGCATATTCATCATATTCAACAATGAATATGCAAATATGAAAATAAAATGTTACTGGTCCTCCAAAAGCCCCGTCTCCCAGAGCTGTAGTGAACAGCCGGCTTCAGCTCTGGTAGTCGCTGTGTGGCGGG